TGACAGTAACAGCATGCTTTGTGCTTTCCAGGGCACTTCTGTGAAAGCCCTGATGTCTCTGCACAGCAATGGAAGTCTGGAAAAGCAGCAGTGGAGGTGTGTGCGGGAAGCAGAGAGGGCCCGATAACCAGATCCACCCTGGAGGTCCTCTGATCCCCTCTCCTGACTCTGGGAGAAGAGATTAATCCCTCTTAACTAGAGGTTTTCTGGAAAGCATAGGAATTCAGGATTATCTTTGAAAAGCTATTTAATAGTACATAAAGTTGCAAAACGCCCTACAGTGATGAGTGGTAATAGTGATTTTTGCAAATTCAGTTGAAGAATTAAAAGGAAGTTGAGATGTACCGTTAGTACTAATCTGTAAATTGTGTGAACGTAAGGCTGAAGGCAGAGTGACTAATCGCCCCAGCCAAACTGGGACAAGATAGTTACCCCAGCTTAAGGTCATCAGAAGTAAGTTGAGTGCTTTAAAAGACTTGATAAAGGCAAATTATTAAAAGCATTTTGCTAAAGGAGTAAGTGTGAACAATGTAACTAAGAACGATGAGAAAAATCTTGAAAATCTAGAAGGGAAATCAAAAAGACGCAGTTTCGCCTGTGTCTTTAAGTTCTTGTTTTGCTTTAAAGGTATAGAAACTAGAAATGGAATACAGCACAGAATGATTTACACAAAAAACCCCTCAGTGCTCCAGCCAGTAACTCACATTAAGAAAAGGCCATCACTAAAGACTGTTAAGCAAGCACATGTTTATGGGTTTAAGTTTCAGCATTTATGGCCTGTTTTTTTCCTTTTATAATTCCTTATTTTATCACTTGCAATTAATCAGCTAAGTACCAGTCATACTTCTGTGTTCTCAAAAGACCAGCTATCTCAACATCTCTTAACTTTTGGGAGCTAGAAGGAAACTTGAAGGTAACCAGGCTGATGCCTTCACGTCACAGATGAGGTTGCCTAGGCTCCAAGAGAGATGTCCTGGACCATGGCCCCATCGTGAGTGAAGGAGCGCAGTAAGGGCCCCCTGCACTGTTACTGCTGCATCCTCAAAGGCAGTTCTCCGGAGGCCCAGACGCATGCTGTGCAGGTAATCACTCTCCAGAGATGTCCACTCCCTTACGCCTGGAACCTCTGAATGTGTTATTTACAAGGTGACAGGGATTTTGAGGGTGTGGTTAAGGTTAAAGATCTCGAGATGGGGAGGTTATCCTGGATTGCCTGGGTGAGCCAGTCTAACCACTGGAGTCCTTAAAACTGGGAGAGGAGGCAGAAGGTGAGGCTGTGAGATACAACAGCAGAAGGAGAGGCAGGTGAGAGTCAACGTGGGAAGGGGTTTTGAGCCACCCTTGCTGGCTTTGAAGATAGAGAAAGGCAGCAGAGTCTGGTAGTGGCCTTCAGTGAACAGCCGGCAAGGAAATGGAGACTTCGTCCTACTGCTGCAAGGACTGTATTCTACCAACAGCCCCAGCGAGCAAGGGAATAGATTCTCCTCTAGGGTCCCCAGAAAGGAGCGTGGCCCTGCCAACACCTTGCTTTTAGTCCGGTGAGCCTTATTGGACTTCTGACCTCAAGAACTTGAAGATAATACGTTTGTGTTGTTGAAGCTGCTGAGTGTGAGGTAACTTTTTACAGCAGCAATAGAAAACTAATACAAATGCGATGGTGACTGACCCCTCCCTGTTTTGGAATATTCTGGTGCATAGCAACTGATGTCATAGAAAGGATTCTACAAGAGCAAGTCACGAGGAAGGACTTATGGTTTAGAAGCTCTTGGGTGAAGGGCAATCAATAGGTTATCAAGGCAGTGGCATCTGAAAAATCCAGGGAACAAAACAGGAAGAGCAACTTTCCTGCGACAAACATCAAGACTGCCACAGTGGCTGCTCTTCCCCACCAAGGGTCTGTGGGAGTATTGGTGAGTGCAGCTATGGTGGGCACGGACCAGGACAGGCATGACAGTCCCAGCTGCAGGAGACACTCATCAGCAGATTCACTTATTGCTCCTCCGATGACAGTTCTGTTGGGAAGAGTTGGTTTTTGTTCATTCATTCACCAGAGATTCACTGAGCACCTCCCATGCCCCAGGCTCTGTTCTAAGTTCTGAGAATAAAGCAGAGATAGGCCAGGTTTCTGCATCCCTGGTGCTTATGCTCTGTATGGGAGGTAGAGAAATGAACAAGGACATTTCTGAAGTTGACTTATATTGCAAAGAAAATGAAAACGACTTTCTGTGATGGGGAAGTGCAGGGGATCCTGTTTGAGGTGGTGAGCTCATTTGAGCTGAGACCATGACAGGAAGGGGCAAACTCTGTGGTGGTTGGGGGCATCACATTCCAGGCAGAAGGAAGAGCAGGCACAAAGGGACTGTGGTGGAAGTGAGATTGGCACATTCAAAAAAAGAAATATGCAAGGAGAATGTGGCAGCGAGAAGGTGAACAGTAGGGTAAAGGGGTGAAACCAGACTGGAGAAGTTTTGGGAGCAGGATGGGTTTTGTCAGCCAGGTTGAGGAGCTATGATCTTACTTAAAGTGCAAGGGGAATCCACTGGAGGTGGGTAATGTGACTGGATACATGTTTTTCAAAAGGCTTTTCTAGCTGCTACTTGAAGAACAGGGAGAGGGGGCCAGGAGAGGAGCGTGGAGTGTAGGAGTATAGTTATGAAACCTCTACGGAAGTCAGAGGTGATGGTGATCCAGACGAGGGTGGTGGTGGAGGAGATGCCCAGAGGTAGATAGGTTTTGGAAGAATCAGGGACAGGGCTCCCAATGAATTGGCTGCTGGGAAAGAGGGAAAGAGAGAGGCTTCAGCATGCCTCTTGTGAACTGAGATGGGGTCTGCCCTTTGGCAGACAGACAGCTGCCTGGAAATATTGTTTGCTCCATTGGTAAATGTGAACATGGACTTCTGTCATATGCATTGAAATTCAGTGATTAAGCTAAGGGCATGCAGTGCAGCCAGAGCTCAGAAAGATGAATGTCTACAGGAGAGGGAGTACTTTGCAGATTTAACTCATTTACTGTATAAATCAACCCAATTAGGTGAGTACTATTTTAACCTCTATTGTAGATGAGGACACTGAGGCACAGAGAGGCTTGCTGTCTTAGATCACTAAGATCCCAGATACTGAGGAGCTAAGGCCTGGATTTGGAACCAGGCAATGTGACTCTCAAGTCTGAGCAAGTGTTAGGCCCCCCTTGACAATGTATTTGGTGTACTGGTCATGTCTGTAACTCATCATGCAGCTTAAGAGTTTAGACAAATGTTTGAAGGTGCATTTCTTCTAATTCTTTATTTCTGACTTTTGCCTAAGTTAAACATTTAGGTCATTGGTTCTCAATAGGGGGGCAGTTTTGTGCCCCAGGGGACATTTGGCAATGACTGGACACATTTTTGTTTGTCACAACTGAGAGGGTGGACTTACTGGCATCTAGAGGCCAGTTCTGCTCCTAAACAATCTTCAGTGCACTGGAGAGCCTCCAGGACAAAGAATTTTCCAGCCTAAGTGCCGATGTCGAGAACTCCTGTTGTAGGTAAATATAGGCTGGAGGCTGTGCATAACACCTATGAATGATGACCAACAGGAGAGTGCAATTAATTGTCCAGTTGATATCCATTTATGCAGCATCAGGGGCTGTGCATGCCAGAAAGAAGACACGTCGTAATTTCGAATTGCCCATTCTGGTCCGAGAGGTGGGACATGGCACAAAACAGGACGATCACTGGTTAGGTGTTCTAGAAATGATTCTGAGGGTAATAGGGACTCTGAAAGGAAATGTTCATGGAGGATTGCATTAGTCTTCAACAAGGTGGCACCAGGGTAGAGACCTGAAGATGGGGCAATATTTGGGTGAGGAAAGGCATGGTAGGGCCCTGTGCATTGGGAAGAACCATGTGTGAAGGCACCGAGGTAAGAATTAGCAGGAGCATGGGCGTGGGGGAAGTGGCGTGGGAAGGTGCAGAGAGGCACAGAGAGGAGCCGTGTGGGAGTTCGGGGTTGACTGAATTGGTCCTTCCTTAGGGAGGGGCCGCAGAGAAAGGCCAGATTATAGAGGGCTTAGAAAACCAAGTGTGGGTTTGCTACAGTAAGGAGTAGGAAGCTAGCAGCATTCTCAAAGTGACATTTGCATGTGCTTTAGGGACATTCCTCAGTCATGGTAGAAAACACCACTTGGAGAGGGAGAGACCAGGAGGCTGGGCTATGACTCAGTCTGCAGTGATGAAGCAAGTTTACATGATGGTGATGAGGTGGGTTTAGGTGGTGACAGCAGAAATGGAGCAGGATGAACTCAAGAGTCAATTCTTGGAGCATCCAACAAGTTATCCTACCCCCTTCATAGACAAGAAAGCAGAGGCACTGTGAGGCTAAGGGACTTGTCTGCTGTTTCCAATATGACCCAGTGGCAGGTCTGGGCTGGACCAGGGTTTGTCTCTGTGAGGACAGCAAGAGAAAAGCTCAGTGGAGTTTAGTTTGTTGAAAACCAAGACTGTAAAGGTTAGGACCACAGCTCGGAATATATTCCAGAATAAAAGGCAGTAGTGGAAATAATTCAATCGGACAGTAGACGTTGTGCTCGAGTAGGGTGGGACCATAACAAATATTTTTTCTTTCTTCTTTTTCTATTTTCCACAATGTGTTTAATGAACAAGTTCTACTTTCACAATAAAGGGGAAGAAAGGATTGGAGCACCTGTATCTACTGTCAAGGAGAAATGAGTGAGGAAAAAACCCAAGAAGAATCTGTTGGGTTTTGCTGGAGGGAAAGAGAGAGGGTAGGGGTTGGGAAGGAGACCGTCAGGAGAGCAGTTTCCTGAGGAATCAGGAGGTCAGAGGAGGAGGAGGGGCAAGGCCTCAGGTGTTGTGGGTTTGCAGTGATATGAAACAGAAAGTTAGGGTGGGAGGATTGCGGTTAAGCCAGGAGGACCTCCCCTTTTCCCGAACACACTGAGTTGCACGCCCCCATCCCCACAGAACCCTTCTTTTCTGCCAGAGCTCTGTGGTCTTGGTAGGAATTATCCGTGACGCGGCTCCCTCACCTGGCAGCCGTTGCCCTCAGCTGGAGAAGATGAAGGCATCCGTGGTCCTCTCCCTTATTGGGTACCTGGTGGTTCCAAGTGGTGCTGCTGTCTTGGGGCGCTGTGTGGTGGCTAAGAAGCTCCACGAAGGAGGCCTGAGTGATTTTGAGGGCTACAGCCTTGAAAACTGTGAGTAGCCCCTCTCGGCCCCCTGCCCAGGCCTCCCCAGCTCTCCTCTGAGCCACACAGCTCCTGTTCTGTCTTAGGGGTGTGCCTGGCTTATTTTGAGAGCAAATTCAACCCCACGGCCGTCTACGACAACTCGAGTGGTAACTTCACCGGCTACGGCCTCTTTCAGATCCGCAACGATGACTGGTGTGACCATGGCAAGAACCGTTGCCACGTGTCCTGCTCTGGTAGGTCCTTCCCTTCTTCCACTCTGGGGCACCCAGGGCTGCTGCATCGAGCTCGGAGGTCTGCTTTCCCAGCGGCTGGAGCTGACAAGTTTGGAGCTGGGAGGAGGGCCTGGCAAAGGCTGGGCTGAGCCAAATCCAAGGTAGGGGCCCAGGGGAGGCCTTCCCTGACCCTTTATTCAAGTCTGAATTAGGTGCACCCACTCATTGCTGCATTCCCCCGTCGGTCCAGGTATCCTTCGTATTATAATTGTCTACAGTCTGTATCTTCCCGCTTCTAGGCTGCAGGCTCTGTGGAGGCAGGCATGGATTTACTGTGTTCCTCATTCCGTCTCCACTGCTTCTTATGTTGCCTAGCACAGAATATTCACACTACATGTACATTTTAATGAAAATATTGTTATAAGAATTACAAGAAAAAAATCAATTGATTGAATAAAAGGTGACCACACTTTGCTAGCTCCCAGTGTTGTCTGAGAAAAATCTAGGGGTAGATTTATTCTTGGAATCATATGGAAGCCTCTCCACTGTGAGTACCTGCTACCTTCCTGACATCACTCTGACTTGGCTGCCAGGCGGTGGCATGGTGTCATTCCACTTTATTTTCTTTACAGCTTTACTGAATCCGAATTTAAATCAGACAATTGAATGTGCAAAGAAAATTGTAAAAGGAAAAAGAGGGATGGGAGCATGGTAAGTGGTACATCTTTAAGTAACCTGTGTTAATGACTTTTACCCATTATTTTACCCATTATCTTAAATCTTAATCTTGGTTGCTACATATCTGAAGTCCCAAACTAGTGGGATCCCACTCACCAAGTTAAGCAGTAGGACACCACTGAGGTCTGCCACCCCAAGACTACAGCAGGAAGGAAATAATTATCAGACTGTCTTAAGTTGAACATCTTTTCCCCCTCAAATCTTGTTTAGGGTCCTGCAAGATGCTAGGATGAGCATCCTTGAAATAAATCTCTGATTATTTCTTTCATATAAATTTCTGCAAAGGTTTTTGAATACTTTTAAAGTTCTGTTTGTTGTGAAATGACTCTCCAGCAAGCTTGTACCAATTTATACTAATATTAAGAGTTAGGTAAAATGCCCATTTACTGCACTCTGACCAATTACAAAACCTTTGCCATGATAGATGTATAATAATTTTGTCTTATTTTCTTTTGCGTTTTACACTTGCCTGATGACTAATGCAATTTTTCAATTGTTTATTGGCTGTTTAGATATCTTGTTTAGTGAGGTGCTTGTTCAAGTTTTGTTTGTTTGTTTGTTTTGCCAGTTTTTCTTTTGTGTATGTCTTTTTCTTATTAATTTGTTAGGAGTTATTTATATATTCTGGATAAAAGTTTTTTGTCGGATACAAGTATTGCAAATACCTTCTTTCATTCTGTGGATTACTTTTCACCTTACTGGAGCCTTGCTAAACAGAAGTTCTTAGTCTTAACGAGTCTAACTTATCATTACTTTCCCTTTATAGTTACTTTTGGTTATGTTAAAGACTTGCCTATTCCTAGGTCATAAGGACATTCTCCTTAGTTTCTTTTCTAAAAGCTTTATTCTTTTACCGTTCACATTGGGCTCTACTTTTCTTTCTTTTTCTTGCCTTATTGATTGGCTAGGATCTCTAGTAAATGTTGAATGGAAGTGATGATAATGGCATCCTTATCTCACCCCAGTCTCACAGGGAAGAAGTTTAATATTTCATCATTAAGTGTGTTTTCTTTAAGTTTTCTGAGATGTTTTTAATCAGATTAAGAGGGTTCCTTCACATTTCCAGTTTGTTAAATTTTGTTTTAATCATAAATGGGAGTTGAATTTTGGTTATTAGATTTTTAGTTGCTTTGCAATTTTGTGTTAGTCTATCCATCTTCCTTTTTAAATTCAAACTATTGCCTTTGTATCTCTCTTCTCTCCCATGGCTTCCTCCAGAAGTTATATCTGGTTTCGTCTTATTGAGGATGTCAGTTTTAATAGCCTTACTTCTGGATCCTGCAGTACGCTACCTTCAGAAGAATGCTTCTCCGAATTTCATTATGATGCTCCCTTTTCTTCTTGGAATCTTTCTCATGGGTCCCATGTTAGTTTTATCCTTCCTTGAATAAGAACAGATTTACCATATTCAGTATTTGCCAATAGGTAGGTTGTTTGACATTTTCCTGGCTCTGATCACTGTTATTTGAATGGTGGTCAGACTCCCTTCTTAGATGTCCGTCTCAGCATAGGTTGGTGTACATGCTTCTTGGCCCAGTTTCTAGTTTGGAGACTTTTCTGATGTATGTGCCTGGTTCCTTCTCACTAGCTGAACTGGGGAACACGTGAAAACCTCCAGTTCCAGCGTGCATTGCACCACCTTCACCTATACCACTCATCGAGGTGGGCCACCATTACCCAGTAGACACTGTGTCACCACCAATTGACACCTTCCCCTGTATTTTCCACCCTTTCCTCCCCGCATTTCATAATTGACTGCCTGGTTGATTCTAGACATTGTAATCTAAATCTAGAGACAACGTCCTATTTCTTCAGTTCCAGATTGTACATCTTAATATATCTGAAATTAGGTTTATCTTGCAATCTCTGTGTCCTTCCCCTAAAGTTGTTAATAAATCATTGATGCCTCTTACAATAGAAGATTATCTTACAACAGTGGAAATCCTTCAATAATAGCTATAATTTCTTGACTGCTTTAAGGTGTAGGCTTTGTATATTTACATAAACAGCATCACTTAACCTTCACAAATCCCTCTGCGGTGAGTATTCTT